GTGAGAACGCGGCCAGCCCCGGCCGCCCCGTGGCATCCACAGGCGCTGCGCTACGCCCGGTTTCAGAGAAGTGACTCGCGTTACCTCCTGACAGTGAATGTTGGAAAGTCTGCCCCCCGCCCGCGCTGCGGAGGTTAGAGAAGCCGAGAACCGCCCTCGGCGCAAAGGGAGCTGCGGTGTCCACGTGGCCGGGGCACAGGGTCCCTGGGTCAGTCCAGCCCCTCTCCGGCACCTGGCACCAGGGAGAGGCGCCCAAGGCCGGTGCGCAGGGGCTCTGCGGGGCCTGAAGGCCCAGCTACCTGAGCAGGTGTGAGACCAGGCTGGTCACGAGTGACAGGTCCCCCGGGCTCCTCTTGAGCTTGGCCTTCCAGTGCTTCGGCCAGTCCTATGGGACAAGTGGCCTTGAAGGAAAGCACGGTGGGTCCGCCACGACCGGACGCGCCTCACCTCCCACCAATGCCGACCCCTAGAGACTGTGGGAGCCCGTCCTGGGTGCAGGAAACCCAGCGCCAGCGCCCCCACCCACACCTGAGGGAGACCTTAGGTGAACCTGGCCCTGCTCCCTTGCTGGGACCTCCCACGCTGGGACCCTCCCTCCTCGCTGGGACCCTCCCACGCGACCCCTGGTCTGGCCCCCTCGCTAAACTCCGCCCCCTCGCAGCCCTGGCCCCGCCCCCTCACTGGGCCCTCCCACTCGGCTCTGGCCCCGCCCCCTCACTGGGCCCTTCCACGCAGCCCTGGCCCCGCCCCCTCGCCGGGCCCTCCCACGCGACTCTGGCCCCGCCCCCTCACTGGGCCCTCCCACTCGGCTCTGGCCCCGCCCCCTCGCCGGGATCCTCCTCCAAAGCCTGGGCCGGAGGGGGACGCACGTGGTCCTGCTCGTACTCCAGGACGGCGGCGTAAAGGGCCCGCTGCTCCCGTTCCTCCGGGGTCAAGGCGACCTGGCTGCAAAACCTCCTGGGGAGAAAGGCACGTGGTGGGTCCCCGGGCCAGGCCTTCCCCGCAGCCGCCCCAGGGGCGGGCAGGAATCCCACCTGTTGGCGGCCTCCTGGAGCCGCAGCCGGCGCTCCTCCATCTTTCTCTGGAGCTGGGTGCAGAGTCAAGGGGCCGAGCGTCGGATCTGAGCGGGCCCTGGGTTCCCAACTCCGTCCCACACCCCGAGAGGCCGAGACGTCACAGGGACCCCCCCCCAATGAGGGGCTGTCCCCAGGTGAGGCTTCTGGGGCAGAAGGCAGCCTGCGCTCAAGCCAGGAGGGCCGAGCCAGAGAGCCTGGGGGATGGGGGTGAGGACCTTCCCCTGAGGCCATGCCTCTGCAAAGCGGGAAGCCCCTCAGCCCTGTACCCCGACCCTGGAACCTCCGCCCCCCTCGCTGTCCCCTTCTCTGCCCTTGGCTCAAAGCCACACCGAGTTTCCCCTCGGGTGGTCAGAAAGGGTGCTGTCTCCTCCCGGGCTTTGGCGATCACTAGGTTCTCCATCATCTGCCGCTGTAGAGAGAGAGTCTGGGCGGGGAAGGAGGGAGTAAGACCGACGCCCTCCCCACACACCGCGCCGACGCACCCCCAGGCCCTCTGTAGCCCCCACTCACCAGGGATGTCTTCTGCATGGCCTGGCTGGGGTCTAGCCGGGCCATTCGGGCCTCATACGCAGCCTTCAGCTTCTGATTCTGCAGGGAGGCCTCCTCCAGTGGCGTCAGCTCTCTGGAAATGTGACAGAGCTGCTGTCTAGACCTCTAGACCCCAGGAAGCCCAGTGGTGTGTGGCCACCAGAGGAGCCTCTCTCATCCTCCCGGACTGCTCTGAGGCCAGGAGGTGAGGAGGAAGAGGAGGGGAGCTATCTGGCCTGGGCTGCAACATCTGCCCCTTCTTGCTTCCTCTTCCAAAACCCAGATTTTGGCCAGGTGCAGTGGCTCCTGCCTGTAATCCCAGCACTTTAGGAGGCTGAGGCCAGGAGTTCGAGACCAGCCTGGCCAACATGATGAAAGCCCATCTCCACTAAAAATACAAAAATTAGCTGGGCTTGATGGTGCACACTTGTAATCCCATCTACTCGGGAGGCTGAGGCAGAACTGCTTGATCCCGGGAGGCGAGGTTGCAGTGAACCGAAATCTGGCCGCTGCACTTGAGCTGGGGTGATAGAGCGAGATTCTGTCTCAAAAAACCAAAACCAAAACAAAAAACGTTAAAAACAACAACAACAACAACAAAACAGGTTTTGGTATTGCCAGGACTTTTGGCTTTTCAAGAGAAGCTGGACCACTGGACTTCTATGGAGATCAGTTATATGTGTTTGGCAACAGCATGAATCTTGTTAAAGCACGCTTGTGCAACAACCCGAGGGCTGGATGACTTTGAATGTGGCCCAACACAAATTCCTAAACTTCCTTAAAACATCACTGGGGGCCGGGCACAGTGGCTCACACCTGTAATCCCAGCACTTTGGGAGGACAAGGCCGGCAGATCACGAGGTCGGGAGATTGAGACCATCCTGGCTAACATGTTGAAACCCAGTCTCTGTTAAAAATACCAAAAATTGGCCGGGCGTGGTAGCACGTGCCTGCATGCCAGCCTGGATGACAGAGACTGTGTCTCAAAAAAAAAACAAAAAAACAAAAAAAACCCTGTTTTTTTGCAATTTTTTTTGTTTGTTTTTTTGAGACAGAGTCTTATTCTGTTGCTCAGGTTGGAGTGCAGTGGCACAATCTCGGCTCACTGAAACCTCGGCCTCCTGGGTTCAAGTGATTCTCCTGCCTCAGCTTCCCAAGTAGCTGGGATTACAGGTGTGTGCCACCATGCCCAGCTAATTTTTACAGTTTTTAGTAAAGATGGGGGTTTCATCAAGTTGGCCAGGCTGATCTCGAACTCGTGACCTCAGGTAATCCGCCTGCCTTGGCTTTCCAAAGTGCTGGGATTACAGGCATGAGCCACTGAGCCCGGCCTTGCAATTTCTTTTTTAAACTCATCGGCTATCGTTAGTGTTAATGTATTTTATGTGTGGCCTAAGACGGTTCTTCCAGCGCGGCCCAGGGAAGGTAACAGATTGGACACCCCTGCTTTAAAGGCACTATATGGATCAAACGGCTAGAACAGTCTGTGACCCGTGAAAGGAAGAAGCGTTCTGCCTCCTTTAGACAGTTCCTAACAGCGGCTCCACCTCGAAAGCTTCCGTCCCTCTTACCTTCCTACTGTCAGGGACAGTAGAGGGTGGTGGTGGGGACAAGGAGGAGGAAAGACAGAGCCTGGCTCCTGGCCACCCTGCCCTGAAGCCACACTTGCAGAAACGAGGTGACTGGGAAGCCAGGCGCCACCACAGCAGGGACAGAGTGGGCCCTTCTTGTCTCTCCCACTTGGGATTCATTGGGCTTTTTGCATTTGTGTCTGTATTTTTCATCATGATGTTCTAGACAACTCTCTGCCATTCTAACGTCTAATAAGGCCTCTCTCCCATTTTCTTTCTGGAACTCCAGTGAACACGTTAGGCTTTCCATCTCTTTTTTGTGTGTGTGTGACATAGTCTCACTCTGTCACCCAGGCTGGAGTGCACTGGTATGATCTAGGTTCATGGCAACCTCCGCCTCCTGGGTTCAAGCGATTCTCCTGCCTCAGCCTCCCTAGTAGCTGGGATTACAGGCACCCGCCACCACGGCTAATTTTTGTATTTTTAGTGGAGACGGAGTTTCACCATTCACCATCCTGGCCAGGCTGGTCTTGAACTCCTAACCTCGTGATCCACCCGCCTCAGCCTCCCAAGGTGCTGGGACTACAGGCGCCCGCCACCGCGCCCGGCTAGTTTTTTGTATTTTTTAGTAGAGACGAGGTTTCACCGGGTTAACCAGGATGGTCTCGATCTCCTGACCTCGTGATCCCCCCGTCTCGGCCTCCCAAAGTGCTGGGATTACAGGCTTGAGCCACCGCGCCCGGCCAATTTTTGTATTTTTAGTAGAGACAGGGGTTCACCATATTGGC